TGATGTACAGGCTCCAGCAGAGCATGTTGGCGGAGGTTTCGTGGCCGGCGATCATGAACTGGAGGAGCTAAGAGAAGTCTGTTAGCACGCCGCCATAGTCCAACTCGTGATGGAGGGCTTGTGGTTTTTCTCGCAACTCACATGGCCCACAACTTCCGACTCCTTTATGTTCTCGGCCGGGGCGCCAGGCGCGCTCTCCTCGATCAGAAAGGTCAGCAGGTCGCGCGAGCTGCTACGTTCGTATTTCCCGGAATCCATAGCAGCTCGAACCTCTGCATACCGTCTTCGCACTAATTGAGTCAAGTAGTTGTCCAACCACGAGGCAGCGTGTAGGTAGTTGCGGTTCGCCTGCAGAGGCAGCCACCGCGTCGGGATATAGACGCTCGCGAACGTAAGAAACTGGCCTAGTTTGCCTTGTTCGAAGATCGTGTGGTACGCCTTATGGAAGCCAAACGAAGCATCCTCGTCGTGGTCATCTTTGCTGCTGCTGTCCAACATGGTTGTCCGTAGGTTTCCCAGGTCGGTTCCGAGTATGGTCATGCCCATTATATCTAGCGTAGCCTTGGAAAGACATTCTGTGCAATTGACAACGCCTGTCTTCCCGCTAGCGTTGGCAGCAATAGCTTGGTCGAACACTTGGCCGACTTCCATCGCCTTGGATTTGAACAAAGGCTCCAGTTTGCGAATGTTGGGTAACGAAAAGGAGCTATTGAGCATCTTCCTATGGATCCGGTGCTGGTCGAACTCCATGATGATCACGCCGTCACCAGCTATCTCCTTCGTCATCCGCCGCCATCCGGGGGGCTTCTTGAAGGAGTAGCATTGCGTCTGGAGTATCTCCTTGCAGGTCTCAACACTGGTAGGGACTAGCACCTCGGCGTTTGCAAAAGAAAGGTATCGAATTAGAGGAGCATCAGGATGTTCTCGCACCCACTTGAGATATAGGCTGTTAGGCGTTTCGGCTCTGAGCAGCTTGATAGACTGGCCGAAGAAGAAATGGCCATCCTAGAAGGGTAGGTAGATTTTATTAGTTCATGTCCCTGTTATCCTTAGAGATCAAGTCGAGAACTGACCGTTGGACCCGGTATATGACGCAGGGGGGAGAAGTATTTGTGGTATAGAAATATCCGGTAATACTTCAACAACAAGTATTGAATGGCGAATAGAATGGATCCAGTCTTTACACCAGTGAAACCATTGATATGACGATGACCTGCTATGGTGGTGATCACAAAGGCCTCGAGGGCTGCCAAAATGGAGCACTTGAGCACATCCATCTCTCTGTTCTTTTTTCCTCACAGCTTAGAACATGATGGGAGAAACTTAGATGGGCATCGTAGCACGCGCCCTCCCTTATAATGCTCGTTTCAAGCAAAGGGGACTGTATACATCTGTCTGACGTCGATAACAACCATCGTGATGGACAATCGGCGATTAGGCTCGGCTCGCCAATTGCAGATGCAGTCGAAAAAGCAAAGCATGCAGCCATCTCATGTAGGTGGTCACACAGAAGTTCTTCAACGAGTCGTGACACCAATTATGTCGTGATGTCTCGAGTCCACCTCACGAATGAAGCCCGGCCATTCGACGCCACATACATGGCGACGACGTATACGACTTATACAACAGCTCTAGACAAACATGTCCGATCTAGATAAGGTGGCTATCCTCGGCTTGTCAAGCAGGTAACCTATCATATGCATGAGTAGAAAGACGACATATCGTAAATGAGTGTTGGCGCACTTCAATGATACCGAGATGGTTACTTCCGAGATGTTGCATTCGAAGCAGGATGGTAGACGCCACCTACGAAGGGACCAGTATTATGTCTTAGATCTTACTTCCGTCACAATCGACTATACATTCCCGAGGCTATCGAGCGAATCAGCTTTTTGCCATGAGAGGTTATATTTATGGTCTGATCACCAACACTTAATCTAGGCACCGCTCTACAACTTCATGTTGCACCGTCGTCTCCATTAGGTCAATGGTAGCAGATAATCCTGCATCTACAGAATCGGTCTGACTGTGTAAATATAAGACCATGTTATCCAATGATGAAGTAGGATGAGGCAAGCACTTTTACATGATATTACATGAAATGGTTGGAGTCGGAATGAGTCTCGACAAATTCAAGGTACCTAGGTACCTACTTAAAGATATGTAGGTACATACATATATGCAGCATGTGAATAGTACGCTTAGTAATCGACGTCTAACTATATTCTTATCGATAAGACGCCAGCATAGCTTCCATCATCTTGGACCTTTGATCTTACATAATAACTTAACTTTCTACATTCTCTAACACATCAAAAATCCAGCAAACACAAAAATTAGCTGTGAGAAGACTTCATCTCTCCTACTGCAGTATAAAAAAAATCCCCCATGTCCTCCAAGCGATCGCGCGCCGCCTTCGAAGCCGACCTCCAAGCCCAGCAATCCCCCTACGTGTACTTCGGCACGCCGCTGCCGCCGCTCGACCCCGAAGTCCGCGACGACGGCTCTTACGTGCCGGTATGGAAACAAGAAGTACGAGATGAGCGGGGCCGCAAGCGCCTGCACGGCGCCTTCACCGGTGGATTCAGCGCGGGATACTTCAATACTGTCGGGTCTCAGGAAGGGTGGACGCCCTCAACGTTTGTCTCGTCACGCTCGAACCGCCGCAATGATGGCGCTGCTGCCGAGGAGAAAAAGCAACAGCGGCCTGAGGATTTCATGGACGAGGAAGATCTGGCTGATGCTGCCGAGGCGCAGAAGCTGCAGACTGCACAGGGATTTGCTGGGCTCGGAGCTGGGGACCAGGATGGCTCTATGCGACGCGGTGGAGGGCTTGCAGATGTGTTCCGGGTCCAGGGGGAGACCATGGGTGTGAAGCTTCTACGAAGGATGGGTTGGAAAGATGGCCAAGGAATAGGTCCCAAGATCCGGCGAAAAGCTCGACTCGATGCAAGCGACAAACAGGACACAGGCGAGACACATCTCTTCGCACCAGATAACGTGGCCATGGTTTACTTTGTCAGAAAGTTGGATCGAAAGGGATTAGGCTACGAGGACGAATCGCGGCTAGCACCCATGAAACCCAGCGCGCCAGTAAATGGCGACGAGAACTCCTCCGAAGATGACATACGATCTGGGCCTTTGATACGACCCAACGCAGCAAAGAAGAAGCCCAGCAAATTTAAGAAAGGGGGTATAGGTATTGGCATCCTAAACGACACAGGATCCGACGACGAAGACCCCTACGAGATCGGACCGCGCATATCATACAACCGCGTCTTAGGAGGCGACAAGAAGAAAAAGAAAGTAGTAAACCCAGCGTTGCAATCGGCACCAGTCTTCAAATCCAAGAAGAAAGCCCTTTCCCAAGCTGGCAAGAATAACCTACGGAGATGCCACGATGGCCGATTACCCCTGGATGGTTTCGTCTTTGGCGTCGAGACGGACAACCTGGCATCTACCATCAGCTCAGAAGTCAACAAATACCCACCACCCGAGATACCATCAGACTGGAAATCCAGCAAACAACGAAAAACCGACACAGAAGCATCATCATCCAACTATCTATCCACAGCCGACGCCGCCAAAGCGTCCAAACTAGACCCCAAGTCCCGCGCCGCACTCCTAGGCGAAGCCCAACTTCCCGGCAAATCCGTCTTCGACTTCCTATCCTCCTCCGCACGCGAGCGCCTCGCCACCGCGACGGGAAAAGCCAACCTGCCGCCCGCGCTGGGCGAAATCCCCCAGGGCTACGCCCTCACCGACGCCGAGAAGCAGCAGGAGCTGCTGCGCCAAGTCCCGGAGCTCGACAAAGCGACGGCGGCGGCGGCCATCGCGCGGGGCGGCAGCGGCGTCGGCGTCGGCCCGTACGCGGACAACGAGGCGAAGCGCGGCCGGTACCGCGCGTACCTCGAGTTCGCGGCGGGCTTCCGGGGCGCCGGCGTCGAGGGCCTGCCGCCGCGGCCGCCCGGCATGACCGCCGAGGACTACCTGCGCGAGCTGCACGAGTTCGCCGGCTGCGCGCGCATCTTCAAGCCCATGACGGGCGCCATGGCTTCGCGCTTCACCACCTCGTCGGCGTCGTCGTCCGCCTCCACGCTGCACGGCGGCTCTGCGGCCGCCCACGACGTCCTCGCGAAACCCCCGCCGAAGCCGGCTGATCCTATGGAGGAGGCGGCGAAGATGGGCATGTACGGCGCTATGACGCGCCGCGTCGCGGATTTCTACCCCACGAGGCTCCTGTGCAAACGCTTCAATGTCAGGCCCCCGGCGCACGTGCAGCCTGACCACGACGAGCAGCAGCGTTCGGGCGCGGCGAGCAAGGGCCCGTCTGCTGCTGCTGCTGGTGGCGGTGCCTTCGTGGCGCCTACGGCCCCAGTTTTCACGGAGAGCGCGATGACGCTGGACGAGCTGCTGAGGTCGGCACAGGCGCAGGGCGCTAGTTCGGCGGCGAGCGATAGTGGGGGAGTAGCAGCGCCGAAAGCGATAGAGGCGCCGCCGCCACCGAAGGCCGAGAAAGGGGTCGTGGTGAACGCGGAAGTGAACGAGGCCCTCGAGGGCAAGACGGCGCAGGAGGACGTGCTGAAGGCCATCTTTGGCGATAGCAGCGACGACGAGGATTGAGTATGGAAGGCAGAGATGGTTGCTATGGATTATACCCCCCGATATCGAATAGAGTACGGAACTGAGAATGCGTAGGCGGGTTCTCTCACGAACCTAGATTTATGAATGTGACTCCTGAGACTGCGTTGTAACCGTTTAAGCTGCCAGGTACTTTAGGCAAAGCTATAAGCTGGAGAAGCACTGCACGAGATTTACATGCGTACATATTACCTGAGTATCTGCCACAAACAAGAGAGCTCCAGGTTCGTTCCAGTGTCTGCCACTGCCTACTGTTGTCTATTATGTCGCCATGTGAACTAGGCAAACTCGGCAAAGAGGCATCAATCGGTTTACGGGCCAGTACATACAATGGGCCACCCACACCTACATCTGAAGAGGGTGCCGTGGCAGAGTGGTCTATTGCGTGAGATTGCTATTCTCATTCCTTCGGGAGCACAGGTTCGAATCCTGTCGGCATCGTTTTTTTCTCTCCCTTCTAACTTGGAACCGTCTTGCTTCGGTTTGTTAGTCTGAGATAGTCTGAGATGGCATGTGATAGGTAGGTAAACTTGGGAGACGAGTGTGTTGCATGATTATTGAATGTATCCATCCTCCCTTTTCCAGCTGTCTACCATGGACAGTGAAATTGACATATTCGAGGATCGGGGATGAACACGCCATGGTAATTTACCATGCTGTACCTAAGTTTGGCAAGGTAATTACTAAACACATTCTTCGTAATTCCAGGCTATAGAACAGCATAGCCTTAATGACAGACTACATCAAGTCAAGAGGCAACTAGCTGCCTTTCGAGAGAACATATACGGCAGCGATGAGAGCTGGAAAACTCGATTCCTACATCGATGAGAACCACTTGGAGGGACCTGATACTACATCCTCGGCTCTACGACATGTTTATCTACCTAAAGACAAAATTTACGGCATGCGGAAATTTTCTTAGCATAGGCTGATTGAGGTTAACATGTCTTTAGACAGGAGTTGTCAAAATTCAAAGTTCTCTGGTCCCGCGGGTTTTGCCTCTATTTCTAATTCCTAACTTTTACCCTAGAAAGTTCTTAGTTCTTTTCTGCAACAAGCTCAAATCACTATTGCGGGACCGAGTGATTTCCAGTTGAAGATACATGAGCTCCTAAAATTATTTTCCAAATAGACCATGTCTTTATTTACCTAGCTCTTTGGTCGCCAAACTGTACTGTTTTGCTTTTCTTTACAATATAATCCATACCTACATACCTACAAGCTGGAAAACCATTACGTCCTACGGAATGGCATCGGTAGTTTAGTGGTAACATCCATTGTTGTCATCATATGACATTGATGGGACTCGCGTTCGATTCGCGGCTGATGCATTATCTTTTCTTCTTCTGTATTAACTGTTTGTGATATGTCTTGAAGATTCAGCAATATTAAAGCTTGATCTCTTAGCTCGCCCGTTATCTTTATTCGTACAGAAGTTAAGATTTGAGTAGTAATATTTGCATATGCTATATATACTCATTTCCTCCTATCACCGTCTCTATTATTCCTGTCATCTGGACGTGGTATGATTTTGTGGCATAAGTCGTTTTGACTACCGTTCCAGTTGCGGGATGTACGCTGTATCTAATATTTATGCGTAGTAGCCAGGAAGTATTGTAAATCTCTCCTGAGATTTGCAAGATCTGGAGTAGCATTACAGTGTCGATCCTTGTTGTCTGAAGTCATCGAGAATCTAGATGTGCCCATGACATATGCATATGATCGACTGGAAAACGTCATCTGCACAGAAAAAAGGAACAAGAGATCGTTCCATAATCCTGGATCTTCATCGATCATCCGATGAGACGTACTCGTGGGTTGGAAGTCTTCCATATACGCTTGGTTGCCCTTCTAATACACAAGTATAATATAACCCATCAACCTAATCGTTTAGCCATTGTAACAAACTACACAACCAAGGACCTCACGTACATAATCGTGACGATATTGCCGTCGTCATGGCCGTCGTCATGGCCGTCGTCACGACTCTAAGGCATACCATCGATCACCAGATTCTCATCTTGGCTCTGCTTGTTCGAGACCAACAGCAAGATCAGATCGGATCGCCTTTCTCTAAATATAGGCTCCACAACTACCTATCTCCAACCTCGCGAAAACTTGCCTTGCTATCATGACAAAATATCTACTATACACCATAACTGCAACCATATTACCTAATTGCCAGCCTACCAGCGCGCTTGTCGTCTGAACAGAGTTGTTTCACACCCCAGCACCCCAGCATTCTACCCCAGCCCCGCCCAGCCCAGCAGGGCAAGAGATCGTGTGTTCGCGTGTGCGTAGACACCCACGTCAACACCCCAAGGCATAGATCTTGGCTCGATCTTGGCTCCGTTTCACGGGACGGCAGCGGTTTCAAAAGCTGCGCAAGGGCAGGCCCCGCGGAAATGTTTGGCACCGCGCTGCATTGGGCCCACCGTCGGATCATGGAGCGAGAAGTTTGTGGTTTTGAGTAGCGGCTCCGGGGCCAGGCCTGTTTGTGTATTGCCGGATGTTCTCGTCACGTTCTTGGCACGTGCCGGAGAGTGATGTAGCCATTCCAACGAAGACGAGTTGATGAAAGATTTGGAATTGTAGTCTTACCTGAATCACAACGCAAGAGGTTTCCTTGAAAATTTCCTTGAAAACTTGGCATTTGAATTTTTTTTCATTCAGTCATGCTACCTAGGTGGGTTGTGTACCTCATATTCTGAAGTCCCAAGTATTGACACGCACTATTGTACAGTTTGTAATCTTTTAGATTTCTCTCGCTCTAGTGATACAGAGTAAATAGTTCGCACCAAGGAGCTAGTAAATTCTTTCTTTCGTAGCCGTCCAAGCCACCCCTCGCGACATGACCTTATTAAATCCTTCTCATCGAACCGTTTTCCTGGTTCGTTACCTAGCCGGCCGTGATTGTTGGGTATAAGGAATTTCTCTCGTAATCGTCCGCCTTCCGGGCGTGGCTTAGCAGGACCTGTTTTGACAGAACTTCACCCCTTTCCTCTCCTAATCGAACTTTCCTACGGTGAAAATACAACCGTCCTTCTTCATTCGATAGGAGAGGGCAAGATGGGGGGAAAGGTGCCTAGTGAGAACCCGCGTTTGCGCGGGCCTGCGCTCAAACTGACAAAGAACCAAGTGATGCTAATGCCGGTAAGGACTGTGATGTAAAATTACACTTCCACGTATGAAAACTCGCGTATTTGACAAGGGGAGCACTTCCATATGTAAAATCCTAGCGACGCCTTGGTCCTCTACCATAGCCGCCAACCTCATTAATTTCGCACCCCTCCGTAGATTCGCTGCGACTAGTTGTATTTCGAGTAGCGTTGCTCGAGCGACACAGCCAAACGGCTGTGGTGCCGTGGTCTGATCTTATAGTTTTGTTACATCGACTCGCGGCTTGTAATAACGTTGCTAGTACGCCCCTTAAGCGAAAGCACCGACGATAGACATGCCAGTAGCTATTGATAATTAGCGAGGTAAAGTTTACGCATGTATAGGAAAACTTACCACCAAGAAGGACCCACATGAAGGCAATCTTCTTCTGCTTCATCGTCAATGTCAAGTTGGACTCCTCAGACAGGAAGTCTTCGGCAAGCAGATCCACCAGAGCGGCGTAGATCAAAAGACCAGAAGAGCTGCGAACGTGTTAGATAGTAGACTTATATCTAGGCTGCTCCAGATAATGACTTACATTGAGTTGAAGATACCGACGATGATGAGACCGAAGGCGCTGTTGGGGTCGTAGCTGTTGCGGGCAATCAAGCCAATGGCCTGTCCGATGGGTGCTGTAGTTCCGAAAGCGAACACCAAGAGCCACGGTCGGATGCTTCCCTTGGGGTACGGCACGGCCGCGATACGGGAACCAAGACCGAGACCCTCGAACATTTGGTGGAAGAGGATAGCAACTAGCAGGACGACGAAGCCCTCGATGGTGATGGAGACAGTCATGCCGACGAAGACGGAGTGGAAGAGGATACCACCTTCGAGAAGGGTAATGTTCATGGACATCCTCTTGTAAACCATGGGGTCCACGGGCTGGCCTTCCTCATCCATCATGCTCTTCTCGGACACCACGACTTCTTGCTTAGACTCGGACATTTGGACGGGGGTATTGGCACGGATCATGTTGACGAGCTCGAGGCGCTGGCGAACGTACTGCTCGTAGAAGACGATAAACCACGGAGGCATCTCAGATTGGGGAAGGTCCAGCTCGTTGGCCGCGTCGGGGTAGGGATACTGGGTCTGCTCGTACGCCTGCTGGGCCATCTTCTTCTCGTAGTTAACATCATCGACTTCAAAGCTGTTTCGGCCTGGGTTGCGCACTGGCCGTTGAGGAGCAGCCATAGGCGCTGGAGCGTGTTGCTCGAAACCGGTGGCACCACCGTGGGAGTGGCCGCCCATCTTGTTGTTCATCCACATCTCGATCGTGAAGAGGATAAAGAGAGATGCCATCATGATGACACCAGGGAGCGGTGGGTAGTCGTCCGTGAAGAGGTCCGGAAGGCATGGGTCTGACAGACTGAACCAAGCTGTGGGAAGAAGCTATGATACCCGTTAGATAGAATCATTCAAATGACTGACAAACAACGTACATGGACAAAGGCAGTTGCGATTAGAACGCCTGTTCCGAAATGCTTGCAAGCAAAGAACACGTTCTGGGGTACCTTGAGCCAGCTGATCTTCTTAGCGGCTACGGGAAATCCAGCCCCTATACGGTGATTATTAGTATCATCCTAAAATGTGATATCAACTTTAGCTTCATACCAAAGATCGATGCGGCTAGAACAAGGACTAATTGAAAATGTTAGCGGTTGACTCTGATTCAAACTGTCTCCGTAACTTACAAAGTCCAACGGTGTGTAGTGCAAGATCGTATTCTCCGGATTCTTGGCCACCACCACAAACGGGCTTCTCATCCCCCAAGCTTTCTTGCCTCTTGTAGTACATTTTGAAGGTCTTTTTTGAATTGTTTCTTGAAAACTAGGAGAAAAAAGAAAGAGTAGTCGGCAGTCCGGCTACTGGTAAGAATTTCAAAAAAGGTATAGAAAGAACGGACAAGGTGAAGACGTCCTGCGACTCCTGAGTGTAGAATGGAATAACAGACGAAAAGGCTTCAATCCTTACGCCAAGAGAAGGGAAGTAGAAAGAGGAAGAGAATGTAAAAGATAAAATAAACCCCTAACACTCTGTCATGGCACGGCGCATAAGAAGAGAATATCAATCAAAAAAGTCTTGGAAGATTCGGGCAGGCCTTTGCTTTAATATCCATTGCTACGACAAGACTTTCTCGAAGATCCTCGGCTAATCTTGAGACGAAGACCCAAAGTACTCCATGTTGAGGTTCCGAGTGTCTGTGTAGTCATCGACCAAAATAGATCTGCTCGACTATACTTGTCGTTTTGTTCCCATCGAATCTATGACAAAAGGCAAGTCGAAGCTTGCGAACCGGGAACCATGTCTTAATCGCCTCGATAACCGCTCGTGAACCATAGATCAACCCAGTCGATGCTATCAGAGAGGTTTCACTGTAACTTCCTGGATCGTTCAACAGTAGCAGCGTAGCAATTTTTACCGGACTCGGCATCCAGATGTCGAAGATCATACTATGGACCTATGCTTGTAAGTGCTTGGCGTGAGGCTCACCTGGGAAGGTTCCACCAAGGTCAATGAGCCCCATCCAGCCCATCCTACTTCGCAGATACATGCAGACGCGGACCAGGTACGTAATTGCAGTCTATCTCGTCCCATTATTAGTGTCATTTGCGGACGTTTGCGAATAGGGAAACAGAAACTTTACGCTGAAGTCTACGCGACCACCAGGAATAACTGTAAACAATGAAGGTCGTAGGGTTGAAACGAGTTCCACCTATCCCAGGCAATTTACTACTAAATTAAACCCAACATCCATACATACTCGTCAGCCGGTTACCTATCCGACTAAACTCCCTAGTACATAGTAGCTAGGAATAGGCGAACGGAATCTTGCAGCTGTCAAAGATTCAAGCGAGTCGGGGGATTTGTCTGATAGTTGCTTTTGCCTTGTTAGGAATAAGAAATAAAATGCTTGAATCGCCTGGGGAAACATGACTCTTCTTGGCAGTATCAGCAAATGTGGGTTAGGATAATGCGTCTTTATACTCTCATGGCATGTGAGGAGGTTGGGCGTCGCCTTAAAACAGTATACAGCTTGGCAAACATACTTATATATCTTGGCGAACAGAGTCTGGGGTAGGCTGGGCTGCTTTTCGCTAGTCTGTTTGGTTAGCTGCATGGTATGCGGAGCTGAAGTGCCAGTTAGCTGTGACAGATTGGGCATGATAGTCAC